GAATAGTCTTCCTGATAACGTAGTGCAAGCTGAATCCTTGGGTTCCTTTAAATCAGAGCTAGATAAGATTTTAACAACTCTGAGCCATTAGTTAAGTTCTCCCCAAGCGCGCTCGATGGGCCGAATGGCCTCCTCTCGTTTGTATAGTTCTTATGTTCTTATGTTCAGCAATAAAGTCAGCTGAGTACCTGAATCTACTGAATGGCCAGGTTATGCCATCAATGGATTTTTTCATTCCTAAAGGGATGGGCATATTCCCAAGATTCATCGGGCTCGAACTGTGAAAAATTGGCTCAAGGAGCATGAGGAATCATTTTCACACATGAATTGGCCACCACAGGGTCTTGACCTTAACCCCATTGAAAGTCTGGCACGTGGTGAAGAAGACTACAGAGTGGTTCAACTCACCTATCGTCAATACAAGATCTTGACGAGAAATGAATGCATATCTGGGTAAAAATAAATGTTGAGATGTAGCATAATCCTATGACATACAATACCATGACGAATGTGCACAATCATCAAAACTAAATGCAGGTGACTTTTTTGGCCATGCAGTGTATTATTGTCTAATACTAATGTCAGCATTTCCATAACTTCATCCATAGTACAAATGAAAATTGAGCACACTTCTGTCTAGAAGAGATGCCTCTGGACTTTTCTAAACACCCCCCATCATGGTGGCTGGCCATGTGCCTGCTTGGAGAAGTGCAAGATGGACAAGAAATGGAGAATTTCTTTCCTACAGCTATCAGAGACAGTTATTAACTGGGGAAAAACAGTATTATCCATGTGGGGGTTAGGGGACAGCTGGAGCTTAGAGCAGGTAGCCTCACAACATGTCTTTGGTCTGTTGGAGGAAACTGGAGTACCTGAAGGAAACCTGCAGGAAAAATGGGATTCAAACTCACACAGGCTACACAGGATGTGGGATTCAGATCCCCAGGCGTGAGGGTTTAAGGGAACAGTGTGAACCACTGAGCCATCGTGTCACCGGAGAGGCTGGGCTGGGATTTAAGTTCAGCACCCCCCCATGATAAATTTTGCCAGACTACATACCAGTTGGCCCACTGGGAAAATGCTTCGGTATACCAGATGAGCAGTTCTTCCCCTGGTGCCACCCAAAAATAAGCCATATATCATCACAATCCTTGTTTTCCATTCCTTGTTTCCTGCTCTTTTTAACTTAATAAAAACACCGTTTCTCATTTTGAAGGTGGCATTTTACGTGGGCTGTTTATAATTTGTGACCTTTAAGAGATCCTTCATTTACATTTCCTCAGGGGCGGAGGGTGTCTGTTGTGCCTATATTCCGAGGGCGATATTTTAAATGGAGCTTGTCATGTGTACCGTTATAAATATTAAGAAGTTTCTTAAAATGTCGTTTTGTATAGTTACTCTGGGTACATATGCCAAATAAATATTCAGACTATGCATGGGCAAAAATATAAAATCAAACTATGCGCGTGCCCTTTAGATAAATATATCCAGAGAAATATAGCGTGACAATATAAACGTATTATCTATAATTATAGAGGAAAATACGCATTTATTGCTTCCAGCGTTGTGTTGCTTGGCTTGTCCTTAGTCTTGAGCTGCTATAACAGCGCAGCCACGCCCCTGCTTCAGCCTGTATAAATTTCAGTTCTGTCTAATGTGCGCTGTACATAGTCTCATAATTTCACTGATTTCTAAGCAAACAGTCCTTTTTCGCATTGCCTCACGTCATCCTTAGTCCAATACTTTGAATTTGAGTGTGTGTCTGGGGGGGTTGCAAATTACAACAATAACTGTAAATAGACACAGACTTCTCTCAATTAACGGAATTCCCTGCGGATTTGATTATTTCAGATTACACTAGCAGATTAATAAATACAGGGGCCTTCGTGTTATCTTACCCATGGTCAGGCGCGCAGTTACCACCAGGGACGGATGGGATGGGTCCCCTTCAGATTCAGAGTGACCTCAATCCGTCCGTCCCCCCACTTGCAGGACAAAAAAACAGCATCTGCCGTCTTTGCATAAGGAAACAATATCTTTGGTACCCCCCAATTCAAAAATCCTATCTGCGCCACTAACCATGGTCCGATGCACTGAGGCTGTTAACGTTTTATTTTTCGTGGTGAAATTAATGCAGAATATTAAACGAGATGATCTACCTTCATCTCCTTTTATGAAAAGAATAAACTTCGAAAATAAATTAAACGAATGGCTGCCAAAAGTCCAGTCAGTAAAATCTGTACATTAGATTAATCTTTTGACAAATATCGAAGCAAGTGCCTGTTGAATTTTCCTCAAATTTGGAATCAAAGGATCAATATTTTCATATTTAATATTTTGATAAACTGCCCAAGAGTGCATTCCCTCTAGATAAATCAAACTCTGACATTTTGGATCGGAACACCGAACCACAATATTGGACGGAAATTGAGTCTGGTTTTGCAATAGCCTACTGGATATCAGATTCAGTGTTGATTGTGGAAAAACTGTCTATTACATTCAACTTTATTGCAACAACATGTTGTTGATGGCAAGGCAGGGAGATCAAAAGGCAAAGCCGACTGCTATAGTTTGAACAGCAGAGTCTGGATGCCGGTGTGTACTCCAGTCCGCATATTAGCACTAACCTTGAGTCCCTTTTCGGAGGATGGTGCCGCAGTTCAGTCGGCACCGATCGGACAGTAAGCAGACGCGATCCTCTCACGGAACCAGCACTGCGCTGCCTCCGCATCTGGCAGCGCTACGCATTTCGCGTAAAGCAGCGTTTATCAATGAACGCCGATTCCGCCCAGTGAACCGGATTTATTTTTTCTTTTCTAAATCTCGATTTAAACTTGGGTGAGAACACATTTTCAGTTTCATACGAACTGCACTGCCGTCTATGTTTTTGTCTTATTGCTCTGCCTTAATCTGTCAGTGTGGCATTGGTCAGGAATCAGTACCTATGATGCCGTATTATGATGTTCGGTTACTTTCTTATTATTGGTAACTTTCCTAGAATGACTCTGAATCTAAATAAATTGAAATGCATGTTTACATTTAGGATAGATATTAATGAATGTTTACATTTAGGTTTATGTGTGTGTGTGAGAGAGACTTCAGATTTAAATAGCCTAACAAGATATTTGTCTGTTACAAGATTATGAAATGGAAGCAGTAATCTGAATGACATTTACAAAAGTAAATATCTCAATATGTTTTATACAGCTGTTTCTCACTCTTGAGAATATTATATGAATTCTATTTCTAGTCAAAGTGCGACTTCGGCGGTCTTACTTTCAAAAACCCGAAATGCCAAAGTAGCCTGTATCTGTACGCTTTTAATATTGTAACCTACAATTGTATGAAATAGCTGGAAACAAGTCTGACCGAAAGAATATAGAAAAAAAACACATTGGGGAAAACAGATGTTAGAAATGTCCAGTGTAGAGAAAATCAGTTTTGTGTCAGGCACTGATTCTGCACCACGCTGGCGTATTCTGAGCTGTCGGTGACTTCCAGAGACACGCATTTATAAGCATTTACATGAACAGGCTCGCTTTAGAAGTTTATCGTATAAGCTTGAGCAAGTTATTAAAAAACGTTCAGAACTGCAGTCGTCAATCGTCATTTCTGGTAGCGAAAATCATTAAATGAGTAATGAACATTTTCTCTTCCTGTCGCCGTTAATGCATTTATCGCTGAACGGATCTTGAGAATGTGATAGAAAAGCCAACAACTTTAGCGGAGCCAGGCCACCTAAAATACCTACTATACCTTCTAGTTAAAAACGCGTCTATATACTTGTATTTTAAAATATATAAAATATGAATAAAATGTTATCTCATGTTAACTGTTGCGACACAAAATTCAACCGTTTCATTTAACTACATTCCTTGAATGTTTGGCTGTCTGACTGCACTCAAAATTGAACGCTTGCTTCTTCCTTAGTCCGCTCGTTTAAGTAGGGTCATTTCCACTAATCGTATTCCATCCAGTGTATATTAAGCGATATAGGCAGCTGCCTAGGGCGCCATCTTCTGAAGGGGCGGCGACTTAGCAAGCAAATTATACTGTCTTGGGCGGGAGGCGCTGGCGGTGAAGCTTGCCTTGGGCGCCACATGGACCTTGAGCAGTACTGAGTAGACAGGCAATAGAACTTGTCTTACCTGCTGCCAAGTATTACACTTACAGACACCAGAAACCTATAACCAGTATGAACGAATGCACTGCCAAATGCACCAGCTTTGGAGCCCAAAAATGATAAGAATGACAACAAACAACAAGTATAACATTCAGCTGTCTTTAATCACGCAGGAGTATGGAAGGTCTAATTCCTTATAATTAATAAATAAGAAAACTGCCGCCAAAAGTTTGAAGATCATGCGCTTCAGAACGGGTAAATCAAGCACTGGCGGAAACTCTGACAGACAGAGTACCTCAAACGATTCCCTGGAGTCGCTTATGAAGTTCTCATAGCTGAGCTTCATTTGGGCACTTATGTCCACTTGAGCTGATGAATCCCTGTTTATATAAAAGCAGTTTGTTTGTCTGATCCTTCTCGAAGAGACAGTTGGATTATGGGGCTCCTCGGTAAGCCTCTTCCGCACAAGGCTGACAATAACGTTACAGGACACAGCATCCCAGGGTCTTACAGTCTGCAGGATGCATAAGAGACCTGGAGGTCATACTCTGTGCTGGTTCTCCAGATGTGGAGAGTCTGTAGTGACTATCCGAAGCCTTCTTCGGCCAATCAATCGCCTTAGCAACAGGAGCATCCAGTAGCGCTGGAAGTAAGGGTGCTGAGGGTGCTTCAGCACCCCCTCTGGTTGTTGGTGGTAATGCAGTGTAAGAATTATGTAGGACAGCATGCCTGCAGTTTGTTTTTTTTAATCAAAGAAATACATAACGTTATTGTTATATCAATAGTTCATTGGCGACTTTATGATTATTTTTCCAAGAAGACACCACTGAAAGCTACCGTGAGGTCTATTGGTCATTCCGACTTTCAGCTCCCTGAATTCAAAACACCTTCCCGCGTCTATAGGAGCATCACTGACGCGAGCGTATTTCAGAAACCTGTTGCTTGTGGGTGTCGGACTTGGTAGAAATGAGGCGGCAGTACCCCGGCGCCGCACCAATCTCGCCATGCCCTCTTTCCGCCATGCAGCAGCTGACAGCAGAGAGGAGCTGAGGGTATTACTGAGCTCTGCCACCTGTGGGAAAATAAACACACGACTCACAACCAGAACCTGATGCTACAGTGTAGTCGTGCTGGGTTTGTGTGACTTTTCTCGTAACATTACCACATGTGGTAATAATAGATCAGTTGCCATGGAAGTGCTTCCCTGGATTATAGGTCCAAGCCAAGCGCTGCATAGATCTCTCTGACTGGCAGCTGCACTCTTGTAAACATAGAGTCACCTGAACATCTGATGTCATTTAATGTCATTAACGCATCCATAAAAAGGAACAATTATGAGGTTAATGTTTTACAGTGAGATATTACCATAATATCTCACATAATAGTTGGGGATAAGTACTAGGTTTTTCGTTCAACAACCCATCCATCCATCCATCCATCCATCCATCCATCATCCTTCAATCTATCCACCCACCTTCCAACTGCATTTCCAGTCCAAAAACAAAATAAATATGGGATTTATACACAAATTACTTGGAGAAACAGTAACAGACATGCTCATTAGAAGAAAATTGACATATTCACATTACTGTGTGCATGGCACAATGACAGCGCCGTCATTCTGAATTGTACCCCTAGGGGGCAGTTTGAGGTTCCTTGAGGAGTTATGTGTTTTGGTATGTTAATATGTTTAGAATTTCATTGACTGGGGATTTCAGTTCTTATCCCAGAACTGTGTAGATGTGAAACAGAGCTGGCATATGTGTTCGTTTATGTGCAGAATTCCATGTAGTGTGTGCTCTCATGTTGCCTACATGGTTGTTAATGGCTTTGGTTTCCCTGCTCCTGCAAAGCATTAGTAGTAAACGGCCATAACTCAGCAGCGCCAGTCGTGTGTCATGCATAATGATATTCCTGCAAACGTCCCCTTAGATTTGCCGCCTCGGAGTCCAGGTGATGAGGCTCTGAACCGAACCCGCAGCGTCACTCCCGGGACCCGTGCCTCTGCTACGTGACCCGCCTAACGCGACTCCGGCGTGTGGCCGATATGGCGAAGAGCGCAGAGGTGAAGCTGGCTGTGTTCGGCAAGGCCGGCGTGGGAAAGTCAGGTAGGCTGGATCGCGACGTGCTTCCTGTAACATCAACACTGTGGAACGTGAGCCATGCTCCTCTTTTTAAGAATGTTTCAAGCATTTAGCAGAGGCTTTCTTGCAGTGTACATTTTTGAGAAAGTGGACATCCCCATTATTAATGTGGGGGGGGGGGAGTTAAGGGCTTTGCTCAGGGGCCTAACACGGCTCTGCCAACCCTGGGGTTCAAACCAGCAACCTTCCAATCACAGGCATAGCATCTTCACTGGTGGAATCACACATCACCCCTAATTAAAAAGCGATTTATTTTTGATTTTGGTTAATTGATTTTGGTTTTGCAGTTGATACAACTGCTATTACTGCTGCTATGTACTTGCATCCTTTATTTGGAATGTAAAGCCCTAGTAAGATCTATTATATCTATTATATAGTACTTGAAGTGGGCTAGTACTCACTAGTACGCAGTACGAGTACTGACACCTCTCAATATCTGCTGGTACTGAATAACAATCAAGTGGTGAAGCTGCCAGGGTATCCATACCTCTTCCAGCCCCTGTCTATGAGCCTTAGAATATGGCATTTATAAGGACATTCAAACTCCATGTAAATCACAGTAACATATGCTAAAATTTGGGAGAAATTCTCCACTTGGTGTGTAGACCCCAGTGGTTGGCAATTAAAAGCCCAGCAGTGTAGAAAGGTTGAATAGTATTAAGTACAATGAAAAAGACTGAATCAATAACCTGAGCACAACTGCAGGGAGACGGCAGTGGATATAAATAACTAAGGACTTTCATTCCGTGGTGTTTTTCTCTGCTTATGTTAGAGAGAGTAACTGGTAGAAATACTACTAGATATTGAATTGCTTCCCAGGTAATGACGATGGTGCGTCAAATGTGACATTTATATTTTCAAAATAAACAAATGAAGAGTAGTGGTCTGGCTTTTCCTGTATTTCATTCTACTTGTGACAAGAGTGACATCCTGGGTTATGTTGATGGAAACACTTAAAAAACAGGAAATCAGTCTGCAACCTTTTCAACTTAGCATGTTTAATTTGGCAAGAGTTTAATTAAAACATTGATCCTGGTAAACATGCTTCACTGGAAAAGCAACCTTGGTCTCCAAATACTTTAAAGCTGTTTATCATTTAAAAGTACAAATTGTCCATGATTTCACCTAATTATGCAGAATATTGTTAATGAAAATTAATGAGCAGGGTTATCGAAAGGGTACTTCAAGAACATTGTCTGAAATATACAGTACAGATATTTTATGGGTTCCACTGAAATAAAGGTAGCTGATTACGAGAAAGATCTCGGTATGTATGTTGATGCTTCCATGTCCCACTCTCGCCAATGTGGGGAAGCAATAAAAAAGGCGAACAGAATGTTGGGTTATATCTCTAGATGTGTGGAGTTTAAGTCAAGGGAGGTGATGTTACACTTATATAATTCCTTGGTAAGACCCCACCTAGAATACTGTGTGCAGGTTTGGTCACCATACCTCAAGAAGGACATTGCTGCCTTAGAAAAGGTGCAACGAAGAGCTACGAGAATGATTCCTGGTCTTAGAGGAATGTCTTACGAGGAGAGGTTAGCGGAACTGAATCTGTTCAGCCTTGAGCAAAGGAGACTAAGGGGGGATATGATTCAGGTCTATAAGATTCTAACGGGTCTGGATGCTGTTCAGCCAAATGACTATTTCAATATTAGTCTAAATACTAGAACTCGTGGCCATAAGTGGAAATTAGCGGGAGAACATTTTAAAACAAATTTGAGGAAGCACTTCTTTACACAGCGTGTAGTCAGAGTATGGAATAGTCTTCCTGCTATTGTAGTGGAAGCTAAAACCATGGGTTCCTTTAAATCAGAGCTAGATAAGATTTTAACAACTCTGAGCTATTAGCTAAGTTCTCCCCAAACGAGCTTGATGGGCCAAATGGCCTCCTCTCGTTTGTAAATTTCTTATGTTCTTATGTTCTTATGTTCTTATGAAATATAGCAAAAATAATTATGAGCAAAATAAGAAAAGTGAAAATCAGGGACAATGTTATTGTTTATTATGGGGCATCAGTCACATGTGATTATATAAGGTAAGCCTTATGTGGTAAGCTGTGTGAGGGGCAAAACCTGTCATGGGGGACACCCACCCATATATATATATTGCAAACTACAACCTGGTTCTTCTCTACTGCTCATTATTGAAGGGCTTCTTCCTTGCTTCATGGAGCCTGATACAAGGCATCCTAGCAGTGCATCGTGATCTCAATTCTAAGCAACGGAATCGCGATTCACAGTTTTTTCAGAATCGTGCAGCCCTGATGGATAAGTCGACGGTCATCTCTGGCATTAGAAAGTCACTTCCGCCCTCTGCCTGGCTGGTTTCTGGTCGTGCCCAGTATCTCCTGCTTCACCTTATTCTTGTGAACTGCTGTCTCAGAAACTTTAATCCTGGAAGCAACCTGCTGCTCAGCATAGCCTTCTGCCAGCAGAACTACGATTAACCAGTATTTAAAAATGTAGATTAGTTTTTAAATATAGAGTGGTCACATTTTTTTCCACGGCTGAATGTGTGGCGGCCTGTATGGCGGAAAGTCCAGGGCCGATTCTGAATCCCAGTCCAGCTCTGGGGGTTAAGCTTCTGAAATCCAGAATTATAGCACTTGTCTGTTTGCCTGTTTGCAATGGCTAATGTTTTTTTCCCTGAGGTGGGTTAAGTTGACACAGAATGAACCGAACGTCCTTCTCCTGGTGCAAAATTAGCAGCCAGGTATTTTTATTTATTATCAGCATCATAATTTTATATCTAGGATATCTATTTGTTTTTTTTTTGCATTTTTGCGAACTAGAAATCATTAGAAATTCTATAGGACATCTCAGAATAAAAAGTCAGTAAATACACAGGTGTGTTTATCGTACATATTTTAAGCAGTGAAGTTCTTCGGAGTAATCTCCCGAGATTTCTGCAGAAATAGATTTCTGCATAGTATTTTAAATTACTTGATATGATTTTTATTTGTCTATTTCACCTTCAGGTTAATAAATTATACATAGTGCCAGCTGTACAGCCATTATGAACATATGTTTAACCAGAAGTGTTCAGATATTTTAAACCTGTGGTGTTTTGTCATTTGATTTTTGGGGGCAAGCTTTAGCTAAATATTAATTGCACCAATATGTCTACCCAGTATGAATCCCATGCAGCCTGTGTGCTGAAGGACAAGCCTCCAAATTCTCTGTTAGTAACTGGTCTCTTTAACAAATCAAATTCATTGTACCCAGATGTTGCTGTAAACAGTTTTGTTCACAGCTGTCAAGTAACCGGCAGTCTGCTCTCATGTAGAATCATTAAAACACACGCACACACACACACACACACACACACACACACGCACCCGCTCGCACGCACACATACACACACACATACACATACATGTCGGGTAAACATATCTTTATGGGGACTGCTCATTCATTTCTATGGGAAAAATGATAACGCTAACTATGAACCTTAACCATGACCATAAGTAACCAAGCGAAATGCAAAAAGTTTTTCCATTTTTAGGTTTTTCATTGCAGTCACAGATTTTTGTTAGATTGAGTGAAAAACGGGTATTCATCACATTGTGGGGACATTGTGTCCCCATAAGGTAAGGTATACCCGCTCTCTCTCTCTCTCTCTCTCTCTCTGACACACACACACAACACACACACACACACACTTGATTGTTTACCAGTGATCACCGCTGTTCATTTTGTGTGTGTTTTTGCTAATAAATCAAATTTCTTGGCATTAGAAAAATGTAAACTAAGCACAAACCAGTTGTCACAGTTAGTGTGGAAGTGAGACATGGTACCATCAGTCTCCCATTCCATGCTTGTTAAGACAATGACCATTTATCAGTGACCACAAATATGCGGCACAGACCACACAGCTGCAGGGATATTGGCTGACAACAGGAAGAGCTGATACAAGAATCCTGTTTTCTGCAGGAAATTGTTCAGTTGAGAATTAAATTCTCCTTTTGTTTTTTTTGTCCTCTCTATGAGCTTCCTCACTGATTTGCTGCCCTGTCCATTTTTTTTACTTTAAGAGCTTTGACTGCTTTTCTGGTTGGTTGGCTGGATTTAGGAATAAGGATGGATGGGAGGAGAGATTTTGGCACATGAGAACGAGAAAACGAGGGGCCTGGCAAATGTTTATAGTCTTATTGTGGCTGTAAAGAACATCAGTTACTGCTTTTCCAACAATGTTCGTTTTGCTGAGTACCGCTGATGGACCGGGCCACGCTTGTCCTGGAGAGGTCGTGAAAAACACTGGAATAAGGACAGCAGACATGAAAGACTGCATCACCACGCAGCAGAAATGAGAACAGCATTGTATGGCTTGGAACAAATTCGCAGTTATGTTCAGCACTTGGCATTATTTACAGTCCTAATGTCGTTTATAAATCCCTGTGTTACTAATCCAGTCAAACTGGGGACAGATGCTCTGGCATAAACAGAGATGGAAAGAGACATGCCCCCCATGTCTGGAAAGAGACGTGCCCCCCCTCCCGTGTCCACACTGAATCATTCGGATGTGGGCTTTGACTCAGACATCATTATCGGCCATTCAAGGTGTTTACTTGGTGATTGTTCCCAAAATTCCGAGATAAGATCTTTAGAAGACGGCTGCGTACCCTTCAATGGATCAACAGACTTTCAGCACATTTTTTTTGTACTTTACCTTGGAAGCTGAGTTTAAGGGGGGACAGAACATAAAGCCACTACAGCAGGCACCAGAACTGACTGCTGGATCTTGTGGTGTTGCTGCATTTCAGACGTCGTGTGATCCTCAGCAGATCAAACTGGCAAGATAGCCCTGCTACTCGAGTGTTTGCCTTTATTGAACGTGTATGTTCATATCACCCTACATACAACAAATGGCATGATACATCACTATTACACATCCTTCTTAAAGCATGCCATTGTATGAACATGTAGCAGAAATGTAGCAAACACAGTTTCCAACCAGGT